ATTACAAAAACTTCCATATATACGCGCGCCTATGTATGATTTCCAATGTATTATTTTTTGTAACATGTTAGTTCATTTTGTAAAGTTCTTTAAGTCTTGCTGAGGGAATATAAAATAATTAGCATGCTATCGCATTTCATTTCGTGAGATGGTTGATTTTACATGGGACCAGGAGAGTAAGAGTTCAGGGGGAGGTAGAGGTTTCGTTCGATTCTCGTATTTCGTGTACGTGACATGTCGTTTCGCCTTATTTTAGACATTTATGCCTTGTTTTAGATGGTTTTAGATTAGGTTTAGATAGTTTGCAAGTGGTTGTAGATGTTTTTGAGGTGGTTGTAGATGGTTGTAGGTGGTTGTAGGTGGTTTTAGGTCATTCCTTGTTTTAGTACTTACCTTTTCATACCACACTCTGCAGACTGTTCTGTTGACAGACAACTCTTACCAGTAAAAAACTCAAATAAAGCATAGCCAGGGAGATGGAAAGCGGCACCTCATACCTCTAGCACTGGTTTTGTACCCATTCCATCCCTAACTATCCCCCTGTTAAAATTCCTGTTCTGCCAGCCCCGATACTTGGCTTTAAACGTACACATGAAAAGAAATGAAACAGTCAACCTCTGGTCCATCACTAATACCAAGTAATACTATGACACAACCAAGACTTATACCTTTAGTCTTATCTTCATCCTTTGCGTTTAGTAGTTTGATCAACTCTTCAGCGATCGCATGGACATTAACTCCGGGAAATTTCGCCACACTTCCAAGCAAAGAAATGACCTTCACTCTAACTGCAGCGTCTTCAGTCTCGTAAAACCTCTCCCACAAAGATCTAATGACGAATTCCACAACTTCTAGAGACTCCAAAGGAAGCTCTTTTTCGAGATCTACAAGAGTTTGAAGGATTTCTTGTTGTGTAGAAAACTGTGATAGTTCAAACGCGAGCCTCTTGGAAGCATCGAGAGCTTGTCGACCCCTCTTCAATTTCAGCACTGGCTGACTTTGAGTGCCATAATCTAGCGTCTCTAAGGGCTTTTCTTCCACGACAGTAGTGGAATAGTCGGGGTTTGACCTCTTCATAGTTTCTTTTGGGATAATGATGTACGATCAGGCATAAAAAGGTGAGTAATATGGAGGTATCATAAAATCTGGTTCGGGCGCCATGATGGATTTACCAAGTCCTCGGTTAAGCGCAACCGAGGAAATACTGGAGCGAATCACTCCTCACGGCAACCGGAAGTTAAAAGATCTTGTTGAATTTTTTTGGTCCGTTCAATATTCTTTGGTATTAAGGCTAAGTGGAGTCCAATTCGGTCCGTAATCATACGAGTGATTAACAAAATCAGACGACTGTGAAGCGGGAGTCCGATTTGTCAATCAATAGTATTACAGACAGAATTGGACGACACGAAGTTCTGTTACCAATTAATTAAAAATATGACAAAATTTGAGAAAGAAACTAGACATCGGTTTTAATTTGCATGAAAAAACAAAACAAATCAACGGTTAACTCGAAGAAATGCGAGACAAAAGCAAGTGACTTGACGCGTTCGGTCCACTTACACAGGCATGACGTATTAACTGTCCCTTTAACTGTTCTATTACACTGTCCAATTAGAAGAATGATGTGTGCACAAATCGGGCTGTTAATGACCAATCACATTCCAGAATTTTGTTATAGTTTTGGTTGGGTTTATAATGCCAAAGCGGCAACTGTACGGTCGATATACAGTCAATTTAGTGTGCCAGAATTAGTTATTTTTCTCCTGATTGCCATCTGCGTCTCAAAAAACATCTCTGCTTAAGCTCTCCAATTAATGCACATGACAATCACACCAGAGCATTCTTTTCAAGATGGTTCATTTTAATCTGTGTATGTACATGGATTGGCCATGTCGCCCGCCAAGAAGCTTCCATTGCAAAAACTGCTATGCATTGGATGCCAGAAGGGAAACGCAAGCGGGGTCGCCCCAAGATCACATGGCAACGGACAGTTGAGAAGGAAATAAAGGAGATGGGGAAGACCTGGGAGGGCATCAAGTTCATGGCAAGGGATCGCCAGATGTGGAGGGAACACATTGCTGCACTACATGCCTGTTAGGCGTAAAGGACATCGCATCGGATCAGATCGGATGTACATTGTGATGGTGGCAATAGGGAATGGGCTCCCTCTTCAATTTTTTTTTTACATATTAAGAGAGTTGGCCAGTTTCCATCCAAAGTGCATGGCTTGCATTTCTGGCTGAAAATTTCTGGGAAGTAAAAGTCAATCAGAACACTGAATTGAACAAATGAACTTTTAACAAAACAAACTTGCAAAGAAGTAAATCAAAACCATTTATTTTCACAAATTAATTAACTATATTTACAAGAAAGTTAATGAATGATGCTAATCGACAGACTTTGTTGGTTGTTGTAACTTGTAGAGATATTAGTAAGTTACAGATCATACATGTAATATTTAAATTGCATATTTGAAAGTCTTAAGAATCTTGCATCGGGGCTAACCTAATGTGTGTCATGCCCTAAGTTCTATATACAGCCAATCACTGTTTTATTGGTTTGCTTTTTTTCCACATTGTAAACCAATAACTTTTTAAATTTAGTTTCCAGTAATGGTTTTTTTTAAGTGAACAATACTGTGTTTGGAAATCTAGTATTTAAGACCCTAAAATAGTGTTCCTCTCATTCGTCTTCCCATTCCACGGTCATAAACCACATTGAACTTGTTAATGAACTGAAAAAGAAGGACCACAAGTAGTTAAATTGATAGTTCTTCAGCACTAGTTCTAAGTCTATCCAAAAATGTTTATGTTAAATATTGATAATACTGTTCCTGTAAACAAAAAAAGGATTCTAAAGGATTCACACATGCCAAAGGTTAACCCTTCACCCTAAGAATGACCAGAATCTAATTTCTCCTTACATTAATAGTGCTGGAACATTCATGAAGGTCATGAGAATAAAGTAAATGATCGCTAGCTCAAGATCTGATTGTTAAACAAATTCTCCTTGTAAGTATGAAAGGAAATGTAAAGAAAAGGGTATAGAGAAAATGAATACTGATGTAAGGGTTTAAATGGTTAAGAATATGGCTGTTTTGAATAACTACCCACAGCTAAAGCTTACTTAGAAATGCAGATAATTTAGTGTTAACAACTGAGTTGAAAACGTAAATTGGCCACAGTAAAGAGTCAAAAAGCTGACGTTTCAAGTGTCCCAATCGCTCTAACGAAGCACTAATGCTCAAAATGTCAGCTTTTTTACTCTTTGTGGTGGCCAATTTATGTTTTCAATTCAGTTGTTTACAATAAATTACCTGCTATACTCTCCCACCAATGCAGCACCACAGTTTCTTTAGAAACTTACCCCCTTTATTCACTTAGAAATGCTTGGATTTCTGCCCATGTAATGCAGTTTCTATATGACAAGGTTTTTTAGTATTGGCTGGAAAGATTTGGCAATAAAATGAGTTTGAGGGCGTAAAAAATTTCTGTGGATTATACAAGGCAGTTTCTCAGCAAAATGCTTTTGTTTTTTTGCTCCTGACACCTACTTTTTCAGTAAATGCCTCAAAACTGGCAGATTGAGCAACTCATGACATAGTCTAAGCTAATTTTTCAGCTTACCTCATTAAGACTATTGGCTCCTTTTGTTATTGTAGACAAATAGCACATCAACATAACATCATTACATTGCTGCAAAAGAGAGTTACACAACCAAATCAATTGTTGTCTGTGGAAGAAATTATCATTAAACCCTTTAACTCCCACAAGTGATTAACAAGTAACTTCTCCCTATAATATCCCAACATTATCCAGCAAAAAGGGAATGAAAATACCCAAACTTATCAGATAGAAGTTGTTATCTTGATCTATCATCAAATCCTCATAACTAACAAAGAAATGTGTAGCAGCTAAAGGGGAGAATTGACAATTGGATATTGGGAATTAAAGGGTTAACAAACACACACAAAACTTTATAGAATGACAATCAACCTACATTATAAAAGTCCTCTCTGAACAAATCGGTCTTCATGACAGGAAGTCTCTGAATAAGACTCAATGCATCACGCATTATCTCATGGTTACATGGTGCTTCACCTGAGAAGAAAAAAAAAGAAAAAGGTTGTGGAAAGATTTTACAATCACAAGTGACAAATTTAGAGTGGTTGGCATTTTCCTTCAAGCACAAAGCAATAGACTATGGGTGTTACCATTTTTCACTGCTTTAGCATACTCTAAAATCATCTTGACCCTGGAATGTAGCATCTTAATTGCATTATACTGAGCTAGGAGATGCTCCGACACTGGAAAACAAAAACAGAGCCATTGGATCAGCCACTGGAAACATTAAATCGAAATTATCCTTCTTTATTTGCATGGAGAACAAGTACATGAGATTATAAAGTAATATATAAAAAGTACCTGTGGAGCTGTCAACTGTGCCAGTGTTTGATAGTCTGGCCACATGATCCACTCCAATTCTCTCAGCTTCTTCCGTAGCTAGGGTGTAGGGAGTTTCAACAAACAACATACGTGTCTGAAAGTGAGTGATGGTAGAAACATCTTTACTTCCGTTACAAAATATTTTCTCTTTCTAGTTGTTACTCATTGAGATAGAGCTTTGAAATAAAGTGAATGAAAAAGTGCAACTACAAAGGCCAAAAAATCCATTGTTAACTTAAATGGGATTGTAATATGTTGGAGATTTTTTTACTTTCAATAATTCCTCTTTATGGGCAATAATTCTTAAGTTCTTGGTATCTTAACCCTTTGACTCCTAAAGGTGACTAACATCTAATTTCTCTTTACAATGTCAGCCCTGAAAAACATGTTAAGGTCATGAGAATAAGGGAAATGATCACCAACTAAAAAGGCCCTTGATTATTAAAAATTAATTCTCCTTGTCAGCACCTTAGGAGATAAACAGAGAACAGTATGGAGAATATACATACTGATATTAGGATGTTAAGAGCTAGCAATAAACATGAATATATTAGGTACTGTACTAAGCAATAATTTTTTATCAAAATGGAATGAATTCTTACTGCTCCTTCAACAATATCAATCACAGATTCAAATAAGCTGATTGGTAACTGAAAAAAAAATTGATTAAAAGACAGACATAAGACAAAGTGCCTTAAAAGGTCACTTACAAAGTTCAGCATGAACATCATACAGAAATAGTTTCCCCTTTAGTCCCGTTTAGTCCCTTAGAAATCTAAGTAATAATCATTATTGCAAACCTACATCATTGGTCTTAGCAAGTGGATTGAGTTTCAGAAATAAGGGACTTTCATTTATCTCACATATCTGAGGAGAAAAAATAACATTTTCACAATAGACATTTCTATCATTCCAAGATTTATTTTCAATGAGTTACAGTCTAAATTCTTGAATATACATGTGAAGAAAAATGCAATACATTTTCACAATTGACATTTCCATAATTCCAATACCTGTTTGTGTACCCTGATATCATTCTCAGTGGGACTAGATCCTGTGGTGTACCAACCAAGGAAATCCAAGTTCTTAAAAACCTGGTGAACTAAGAATATATTGCCAGTCAGGCAATAAGAACAAGTTGTAGAATGGCTTGTGTTCCTCTACAGATCAACTCAAAGATAAGGAGATCAAAATACATGTATGCATAATAGATGTGCATGGTACATGTGTAAGACCAGATGCATACTAGTCTTTACAGACAAGCATAAGTATGCATCTAAGAATTGATGAATTTGCGCAATTAGTATGTATGAGCTAGACATATTGTTTTCTCAATTGTGAAATGATCATTGTTCAAATCAATGGGCATTGTATTTCCAGCAAAAACTGGTGATTAAGCTGCACTGAATGTCTGTCAATATGAGTGCCTTTTTTATGTGTGTTTATTTGTTCACAGCGGTTAACTTTACACAGCTTTTGCATACCAGTAAATTTTTAGCAAGGTTCGCTTGACAACAAACGACGCAACTCTGTTGAGCGCATCATACTTAAATGAAATTAAAACGTTTTCTTCCACAGAGTACAACTACCACCTTGCAAAGTAATATCAACTCACACTGTTCCTCTTTTTTCCGATAGTACTCTATATTTATCACAAGTTGTCCGTCATCAAACACATCGAACTGAAGCTCAAAGGAATTGAAAATTTCAATCTTACGGCCATCTTGGGTCCCTAGCAGTGCTCCTATCACTGGAAAAGATGGGGTGATAATCATTAAAAAGGTCTGAATACAGGCTTACAATATTTCAACATTTAAATAAAAATAGCTAGTTATACACTGCAACAGGTTTACATTAAACGAAAGATAACAGGTATGCTGTCGAAAACGAAAGACTGTTACAAGCCAAGACGGTTTGCGGGAAAATATTGCAAGCAGCAAACAAAACAAATCACCTTGTGGGTTGGGTTCTCCGTATTGCGCCTTTATTCTGGTGTAGTGTTCAGATATATTCATAATTACTAAGGGATGAAGAGCCACTGATACGCTTCCACTCGAACCAGAACTCGCCAAAACAGTCTCTGATTCCTTCGAAGTAGTAGTTTGAACTTCCATTGACGACGCCATCTTGGATATACTTGAACAGCTTAGTAGCCACTCTGAAGTTTTTTTGATCTTCCCGACTCAATCCCTGCTCGGCCAATCTTAGGCGAAGAGCCTGTCTCCTCTCGTTTTCTCTTTTTCGAATACTCGTCACCTCTTGAACTCTAGAAACCTAAGTTGCGTGAACATCTCAGTCATGGTTCGAAAATAATTTTCGATAAAATTGCGAGGATTCAAAACGCGTCTCAAAGCTACGCTCTGTCTCAGTTCGATCTAAGAAAATCCAGTAAATGTAGAGTTTCCGTGGAGGTTTTCCCGGGATAATTATTATACATGCCACATAATATTTATTATTTCAGCTATGAGGCAAGCTGTCAGCAACTAAAATGCTGGCACGACTTGTTTTTAAGACAGCCGCGTGCCCATCATGGCACTGAAAATGAACGGAGTAGAGATTGGTTTCCTGAAGAAACTGCTGTGCTGCATCGCCAAAAAGTTATTTGAAGGTTGATATCGACTGAAAGTTAATAAAGCAGATAAAAGCCGCTCTGGAATTGGAAAAGCTGATGTTTTGAGCATCAGCCTTCGCTTAAATGAAGACGGTGACACTACACATTTCGCTTTAACGAGGAACTGTCGCTCAAGGCTTCAGCTTTCCAAACGATCTCTACGGAGGCCAATTTACATAATTAATTCAGTTGATACAATAAAATTATCTTGAAATACCCCAACCGACACAGCGCCACATTTTCTTTAAAAACTTACACCTGGACAGAACATGTAATTGTTTACAGACGTAAACTATAATCATTCCTTACAGCATGATTGCTCATAAAAAATATACTTTGATAAATAGGAAATAACAGGCAGATCATCTGATGAGATTAGATTAGCAAAAGATCTTTTCAGTAATCTTGACAGAGGTAAAAATGATTCCGAATATAGGCTATAAACAATCTGACTGGAAATGAATCAGTTTCAAATATAGATTTATATTCATTTTATAAATTCTGTAAAAAGATTGGTTCTATAAATATCACTTTTACAGTTATAACTCTACTTGGATTAAAAAATAACCTTAAAATAAACTCCTTAACGTCATTGTTAAAGATGGTTTTTAAGCTACTTCAGGATTCTATTAATTGTCTCCTGGCAACGTTTTAAGGTTGGTACTTAACAACGGGTTTTTTGTGATCTTTTAAACGTGCGAAGGTAATTCAAAAATAGGGTGCAGACGCTCGCATTACGCATATACTCAAGCTGACTCCTGCGAACAAACAGCAAGATTTCAAAAATGTAAATTACAAAATATTAAATTCTCTGTCAAACTAGTTTTTTTTTACCAAAATCGTACGCGGTTTGCAATGTTCAAGCTGCCCTGTCGATTTTTACCAAAAATTTCCCTTTGTCCCAAATTTAATACAGGTTTTTCAGGATTTGTATATCTTCCTTGTTAGACTTGATGTCTCGCAGTCTTTAATCACAAAACTTAGTTATTCTGCCACCAAAAATACTTTACGAAACCATGGCCATAATTATGACAAGGATCTGTAAAAAAGAACACGAACAAAAGCGTGAAGGGATACAAAATTGCTTATTTTGTTGGTAGACGTGAAAAATATAAGCCCCATTAATCATAGCCATTACAATTTCCTCAAACTCGATTGGTGCATTAGCTGCTTAATTTTTCACCAATCATTCTGTGAAGCTGTAATCGGACAGTTGAAGTAGCCAATCTCACTAAGAGGGTCCCAATGGGGTTAACCGTTAGCCGTAAAACGGCCAAAATATTTAGCCGTTAGACGTAAAAATTGACAAATTTTAACCGTTAGTCGTAAAAAAAGTTAACCGTAAAAAATATCTCTGGTAGAAACAATGGAAAGGTGTTAACCGTTAGCCGAAAATTGGCCAAAATTTTAACCGATAGCCGTAAAAGCCATCACCCCATTGAGACCCTCCACTAAGTCCACTCAGCCAAATCCACTAATCACAGAATTAATCACAATAACCAGAGCAACAAGCACTTATCCTAAAAAAAAATTGAGGAATTTCCAAAATGGAGGAATTCTTTTACTTTAGACATTTTCTGTTCCAGAGATATTTGACCTAAATGTATTTGTTGTTTTCGGAAATTGGACTTCTTGTTGTTCAATTCTGTCAGTAATCATACTCATGATTGACAAATTGGACTCCCGCTTCGTGGTCGTCCAATTTTGTTAATCACTCGAATGATTATAACGGAGCTCGCATAGCCCCATAATCATACAAAATAGTAGTAACCTATCAAGCCGAAAAAATTTGGATGTACGACCGTACGACCGTACAGGTGCTACTTTTAACATACGTGGTCAATTGTAGCGCGGGCAAGCCAACGCCACGGCTTTGTCCAATAGTCGTCCAGTGGTCAGTGCACTGGGCTCCGAGTCGGACGACCCAGGTTCTAGTCCTGGCTGGGACAAGGCGTTGTGCCCTTGAGACGTGCGAAAAAAAAAATGCGAACTCCAATTTTAGGCTTGGCTTAATCTATATATTAGACCGAATTGGACTTCACTCGGTCTTATTACCATTATTAATCATCATACTGCTATATTTTACTTTTTTTGAACGCCCCTTAGAGGCGCAAATGTCCTTCTTCAAAACTTGCAATGATTTGTAAAATGTGTTTATGATTTTTTTTAAAATCGGAAGGTCCTTATAAGTTCGCGGGAAGAGTGATTCCAGTGTCAATAGAGTAAAACTGTATCTTCTATGGAAAGAGATGCTGATAACATTGCATTGTTGTCATCTCTGCCACTTTTCAGTTTCTAATTAATCGTGATTGTCGTACAAAATAAAATTTTCATGCAGTGCAAAAACCATGCTAAACGTAATCTTCAAAAGTTTCTCTTCTAAGTGCAACTCAACGACAAAATCGTAAAGGAAAAGCACAAAATAAAAATAAAGCAAGCTGGAGGCTTTTTTGTTGTGTCTCATTAGTCGTTTGTACGCCAGTTCGTACGGTCGATCATTGCAATATAAATGGTAATTTTCGATGCGGTGCATTTTTTTTTCATCCATTGTGTTCGGAAAAAATAATAAAAACATCTTACAGTTGTGGGTGAGATTCTTTTTTTGTTTACAATATTTTTATATTTATTCATGGTATGCTATCTACTGAAGAGACTTTTTTTTCCATTTTTGGTAAATAATTTACCAATGAACATCCTAACGACGAAACTGAAAAATTACCAAATGCGTTGGCGTGATTTTGAGATTGTCTTAGTCAGAGATTTTCATTTAATGGAAAGCAATCAATGAAGTAATCGACAAGACCAAAAAATAATCTCCGTAAGTAGTATTTTGATTGATTTACCTCCTTATTTCTTTTGTGACCCACCATCTCGATCTTAAAAATACAACTCAGCCCTTCGGACGCACAACTGCTCTTTGAAGGTCAACTAAAGATCGCCGAAAAATTACAAAAAAGATTGCTGAAATATTTGAATTTCGCCGAGGGGAAAACTGGTTCGTTTTAGTTTTGTTGCTTGTATGATCATCAGAGCGGCTGAATTTTCTGCGATTGAAATTTTTTCTTTACCGGAAACCAACAGAGCTTTCATGTTACAACTACCTAGCTTGGATGGCTGTTGTGAGATTTGACAACCTATCTGAGAACGCGTATCTCTGGAAGCACCTGACTGTGCAAAGTTTGGCAAATGTCATCAACTTTTGATTGATCCCAATTTTTATGGATGTGAAAATCATTGCTGTTTGTCACCAGGTACGGTTTTGGCAAAATATTTTTCATTTGAAGGTTTAAGCTTAGTGCATTTAATTAATGATAACAAAGCGAATGGTGCATGCCCTGACCCTTTTAGAACATGACACTTGCGTAACAATTTGAACGAATTTCTGAAATCCATCTAGATGGCCTCTCGGCCATTTTTTTGGCCTTGCATCTACAGCTTTCCTTAGATAATTGAGATATGCTACCAAGTTTGGTCTTTTTTTTTTTTTGCAACATCATGCAACGTCATAAATTTAATCATAGCATGGTGTCGTCTTAGAAAGCGTTTGTGATCATACTACGTTAACGTGAACGTATAGTTTCAACGTCAACTGTTTCGACGCGTGGTTTCTATTTTTATCTAAAAAAAAAATGAAATAAAAAGTGGCAAAGATCACGGCAAAGGTCAGAACAGGATCATTGTCAACAGAAACAACACGAATCTACGAAATCGTTTGTGAGGGAAAAAAAAAGGATAACAGTTTTGTGAAATTATGGCCGATAACCTCTGTGGGTCAACTTCAAAGGAATGTGCAACTTGTCATACGAAAGATTTACTGGTAAGAGAGACTATGGCATTTTCTCCAGTTATATTCGATACAACCGGTATTAGGTAAATTTCTTTATAAAACTAACCTAAATTGTATGATGAATTAGATGTCAAAGCAACTGATGATTCTGCTAAAATTGGTACGTAAACTCTTGTTCAAACTCACAGTATAAGGATTAAGTTGATCTCTTTCCGGAATGACTAAAATAGTTTGTCTCCCGCGCAAAATTATCCACAGGAACTTTTCAACTTGATGATACTTTTATTTTTGATCTTATCACAGTTTTACATAGTTTTCCTTGGCCTGGTCTTTACAAAGCCTTTTGCTTTTCTTCAGTCAAGCGAGGAACGAACGTTCGATAAAATTTCCCCTTACGTAGCTATGATTTCGCTCGTGTGTTTGACGATGAACTACAATAGAATGGAAGACTTTTTTGAACAGACTATAACTGGGAAGAATAAATCGTTATGTTAATGATGCAATTTTTATAAAGTTAAATTTATGGTGATCTTTCGGTGCTTACCCGATGGCTTATTCTGCCATGAACACAAACTATTAATAGAGTCGATTCGTTGTCTATTTTGCTTTCTACTTTTCAATCGTGATTCACGAGGAAAGACACAGTCAGTCTCAGTTACTGAAGCCGTAGTTCTATTTTTGTCACGGAAGCAAATAACATGTGTGGGAAATCGCATCAAACAGAGTGCATTTGTGAATCATTGGCACAAGTAATGTTTTGGTGCACAAGTGCGCTAGCCGTAAGCGAGTGCGCAACTCATAGCGCATAACAGGTGACCATTTATGGATAAATGCACAGGCAATCGATGTGTACTTTTTTTGTTTATTATTTTACCTTATTATGACATAATGAATTACCAAGCCTATTTTGTACGTCCGCGGGGCGCATTACTCGAGCGACTTTCAACAATTATTTGAAAACGCCTTTATAACATCTTTGAAGTGATTATCCGTTTGTATAATAATTGAGACATACAAACCAATCATATTTTTTTGAAATATTTTAGAAATCAGCGTTCCTAATCTAACTTAAAAAAACTTGGATTTATAAAGAGTACAATGCGGAAATAGGTGCATTATTGCCACATCAGAAAGGTGATCTTTTTTAATAATTTAAAAAACCTTTATGGTCTGCACACTTTACTAGAAGATATTAGCACCTCGACCTTTTTTAATTAATGGCTTCTTCTTCTTTGATGTCTCAGATAATCTCCTGTGAGGCGCAGCAACACGCTTTCTGTTTGTCTTGCCTCACAACATTCGTTGAGTCACGCACATCCACAGGAAAACCGCCAACTGGGTTGGCAATGCGCCTTGGCTGTCCTTTGGGGTTTAAATGTGGATCACAACTTGAACCTTACCTACTGCAGGATATCATTGACGAAATTGCTGCGACATCAAAGGAGAAAACCTCAAGAGGTCCTTCCTGCGATGGACAGACTTCTTCCAGGTCTTGTCCGAATGATCGATGCTCCTTTAATTTTCGGCCCGATGACGGCGATTTTGAAACTCTTTATCCGTGGTGCCCAGAATGCTGCGCCTTTTATTGCTGTACTTGTCAAAGACGACTTGGAGATGAAGGATACACCGACCATATTTGTCCAGCCGAAGGTCAGATCACTGACATAACTAATGATGCCGTAGCAAGCCAAACATTGTGCAGAGTAGTTTGCGAGGCTATGTTTGTACGATGTCCCAGCAACTCTTGCCAGTCGACTGACCGAGCGGAAGACCTGATAGTGAAGAGGAATGAGGATTGTAACGCTATAAGATGTTGGACATGTCAAAGATTCTTCTGCTTCATTTGCACGAAAGACCTGGGGATGAACAGAGAAGATGCACTTAAGGCATTTCCACACAGGTAAGAAATGTTCCGGCCGCATACATTATAACCTTTTGAAAGTAATCCGCGATTGCAATGGTTTTGATTCAGTTGGGCGGGTCACTTCTATTCTACTGATCTGAGATCTCAATCGGGTTAGTTTAATATTTACCCCGTATTTATCTAATTATAATTTAAATTAAGTTCCTTTAACTAGCTGTTTTAATTTTATCTGTTTGATTGGGAGAGAGCATGGGAGGAAAAATAGCTTAGCCCCACCTGCTTATCTTAAAATGAATGATAAAATTACTCGCAGTTTTTATTACTATCAATACCTCCCAGTAAAGTATGAAACCGATTTAAAAAAACAAGTGTGCTGAAACTTTTCGCAATTTCCGGGAAAATGCTGGATTCCCCTTGGAACTCTTTTAAAAGAGTTGGTTTCATTGATCTATATCTTTACCTATTTCTATTTACACAGGAATGCTAGCGAAGCTAACGCTCCTTGCTGCTGGCTCTTCGACGATGGATTGAGCGGAAATACTAAAACAAGAGCGTTACTGATACGGCAGATGAATGCAGCAGCCGATTATCTTCGTTCTCTCCAAATGAGCAACGAAAAGAAATTGATTTTGCTGAATAGTAATAGGGAAGTACTGGGGGACGTATTCACGCATTTGATCAAGAAATATGGACCCAAAAGAGACCAAGAGAAGTGTGTCATATTGTAGAGTTTTTAAAAAGTGTGTTATACGCGCACTAAGATTTTGAAGCGCTTAATTGAGAACAGAGCTAGTGATAAATGTATTATAATGCGAAAAAGGACTGCTCTTTAAGTAATGTAATTACATATTATACGTACTTCTTAATCTGTTCTAGAAAGGTTGATTGAAAAGTCACATTTAGCTTTTTATTATCAATATTTGAACGGAATCATAATTCTACATTAGAATAAGAAAGCTTTCATCTGGACAGGGCCCCTTCAAAAGGCTTTTTCAAAGATGCCCAAGCTCTTATTATTGCAAGGCCTTGGATTCGAAATTTATTAGTTTTTCGTGACATATAAAGCTCATTTTTCAAGAAAGGTTTAGCTGTTAGCCTAATTTTAAAATTAACGCTTTCGGAACTCGGAAATGGCCTAGTGGACGGTGACTCAAAAAATAAATAATTGTGACAGTGCTTGATTTTTCAGAATACATATTTCGAAAAAATACAAAATCCTACTTGTAAATCTCGGTATAAATTCAGCTACATTTTCCTTGTATATAAAATCATGGAGAATTTTAATCACAGTTATATGTGAATAACCCAGATTATTGTTATGAACCGTGACTTCGTGTAGATCGCGATGAATGTCACACTTCATGATTTCTTTTCCAGAGAAAATATATTTACTATTTGAATCGGTTCAGAAAAGAGGAAGGTTGTAATTTCCAAGCATTATGAATCAATAAATAAAATTTGAATTAAACTTTACAACGAAGTATCAGCGTTCGAGAACTGAAATTTGAAAGCAGAAACCATTGTTGTGTAGCCTAAAAATATAATTGAGCATGCAATATTTGATAAAAACAGCATCGTTACCTCATTTTGTTTCTATCAGTTTCTTTTTTTGAACATCTGATATTAGGAAATAACGTTTCAGAAAAAGGCGAAAGACGTATTAAAATCCGACAAATAAAATCCGCATCATAACTGAGGAAGTCAGACTTTCAACATCAAAGAGTGAAAAAAAGAGAGCGCCAAACTATTATAGTAAGCCCCATCCCGAACAAAATCGAAAATTTCACAAACGGCTTCTTTTAATTAAAGGGTTCCTGCTTAACTCCAGTAAGTACTTGTTTGATGGAAAGAGATCGGAAAGGTATACATTTCGGTACGGTGTAAGACGCTGTTTTTGTGAGAATAATAATTCAAAGTAATGTACAGTGTTTGGTCTTTTGCCACCAACAAACTTTTCTGGAGGTTTGAAAAGTGAAATCCAGACCGGGAGCCTTTTATGATTTCGCATATTAACGAAATTTTTGCCCTTGCCGTATCCATTCAACCTGCAAATAACGAAAAAATTTAGGAAGTTTGAAGGGTTCATTCAATGTCCATGCGCCCCTTCACATCATCGAAACACACTGTAGATAATTTCTGTAATCAAAGCTTAAAAAGAGAATTTGTCTCTCTGAAGTTGTATACAATCACACAAGTCAGTAAGTCACGGTGTTTGGAAACCGTATAACTCAATTAATACAGCGCACACACAAAAACAGGAAGAAAAATTTATTAAATGAAATGATCTTTGTTTTATTTAAAGATTTTTTTCAATTTTTTTCCTCGTACATTTTGCGCTTCAGCGGTTGCAAATATACTTTTGTTATTTCTTGAAATTTTGCGTGAGAAATCAGTGCACTGCCGGCCAAAATTGATCCACTTGTACATGCCAGAAATTTTATCGCTGGGTTCAGTCAATGCACCTTCTATGTGGTGATTGCGGCGTTAATTATGTAATTGACATCGTCGTATGAGCTCTTTGTAATCTGCTGAACGCTTGAAAACTTACAAGAAAACCGTTTCTCGGTCCCAGACCTCGGCGCCTGCATTTGGCTCCATTTCCTCTCCCTTTTTTGTCGAAGTGTCTCATTTAAAGAAAGTTTTCTACTTGAACTTTGCAAACAAAATGAACACTCTGACAACGTAACTACTATGAAAGAATTAATCTCTTCATACATATGCATACAATATTGTGAGGTTTTATTTCCATTATAGTATTGACTAGAAGCATCAAGTCACCGATTTCACAAATATATACGATCTTCACAGATGATTTTAAGTTTTTGCTGTAATTTTAGAGCTATAATTTTCTAAACGAGTCATTTAATATAACATTTTCGATGAAATAAGTTCTCTGTTGTGCTAAAGAGACAAATGAGAGATCTATGAAGCAATTTATACGCAAATGATCTTGTTTACGAAACAATAAGAAATAAGCCTTCAGATTGCAGGTGTTTATATGATTCATGAGTGCTTTTCTAAAGTACCAGAAGATTTTCTATCAAGGTAAAATAATTGTGGTTTAAATCCAAATTATTTGTTATGGTTTTCATGTGAAAGCAAGCAGTCGTAAAATCAAAGCATGGAGGATTTCGAAATATCTGAAATTGATATTAAACAAAGACCATCTTCAGTACTTCCAAGATCGATCAAGGTCGGTCCGGAGGTGGCTACAACTCCGTTGCCGCAGGGAAAACAGTCCGCTGCAGTACAAGAAAAGTGGAACGGCTTCGTAGAATCGTCCACTCTGCATGGCTTGCAGCACGTATTTGGCGGTCGAACTCTGGCCCGCAGAGTTATATGGGCCTTGTTTCTTCTCCTCGGTATCGGCTGGTTCTCGCTGCAGACACAAAAGTTGTTAACGAAGTACTTCAGCTATCCCGTGACGACAAAAGTAACCTTGGTTTACGAAGAAAACCCCGAGTTTCCAGCGGTCAGCATCTGCAACTTTAACATGTTTCGAAGATCTGTGGTCCGAGAAGCAGGCTACGAGAAGGTATGAAAGTTTACCACACAACTTGTAGCCTTTTTTTAATTTTTATTTTACGGTCGGGTCATAGTGTGTTATGTCCATGCTTGAGACGATATCTTTACCCCTTGAGTAGAAAAGGGTGGCAAAAAAACTGTCGAGGAAACTTGAGAGATTGCCTAAGTAGAGGGTTTCTCGTGATGGACAGCGCAGCACCCCTATCTAGGAGAAAGAGGAAAACTTCTAGTAGCTTGCTATCGAATCCAGGGGTGTGGAATAGCTAGGTCGCAACGTTTAGCCTCTTTACGGTCGAGGACTGAGCTAAACATCTACCGTCTACCGACATATCTTACTGTATTAATATGTATTCTTATTGTATTAATCTTTATTCTTGTATGGGACTTTTGACAAAGCTTATCCTTGCAGAATTCTGAGTGCAAACGCTTAAAAAATCTTTAAGTTCGCCTTCGCATTATCTGTAGGTGATTGCATAATAAAGCATCTAATGAAGAAATTGAATCCACAGATTTCTTTTACACGCTCACGATAATTTTTTCAACACGTTTCTTGATTAGATTCTGAATTACGTGCTAAGGAAAGCGAGTGGAATTGACGTCTCTGGCGAAACCATCAACTGGGAATTGTACGAAAGTATAAACCTGACTGAATTTCATTTTGCCATGGGACATCAAATATACAACACCTTACATCAGTGCTATTGGGACGGAGGACTTTGCACATATGAGAATTTTACACCTGTTTTGACTTCCATGGGTCTTTGTTACACATTTAATTCAGGTAAGGTTGACAAAGTTATCACGAAAAGTAAGAGGAATCATTCATCATATTTGAGCACGATGAAAATCATTTTGACGAAGGATCCAAAATCATATTTTTTAGAAGAGTAAAAATCGTTAAGATGCGAAAAGGAGTCTGAGATGGTCCGGGAAAAGGAATATTGAAGCTAGTTTGAAATAGTAGTCTTAGAGAATTTTGGTTTTTTTAACGATCCAGAGACGTTGCCGGGCTGAGGAAAACATGAAAAAGAGACTTTGATTTGAAGCATTTACTTTAAAATAACTTTCGTGATCTCGCCCATTTTCTTTCCTGTAGCAAATTCCTCTTTCTTAATGGGAAGTTTTTTTGTAAGATAAGCTTTAATTGTAATGAGTTTGAAATAAAGGAAAGTTAATTAAACCAAAACATATAATTTTCAACATATGTGCATCTTGCTGATAAGTGAAAGGCAGCACAGCAGTAAAAAACCTAGAGTGAAAAATGTGCCTGGGCTCTGTTCCAACCCCAAATCTTCTTAAGCTAAAACGTAAAATGTTAATTTAAAGTTAAAGCCATTCCTTTCGTTAACTAAATAAATAAGCACTTGTCAATTTTTTTCAAAGACTACAAATTACACTCGCCCTACGGGTTCATGCAATTCTGTTAGTCTTTGAAAAAATTTACTCGTGCTTATTTATTCCAAATTGTACTCGAAATCATATATACAAAGTCTGACTCAGGAAGAAATGGAATTTTTGGCCATCGTGACTTAAAAGTTGCGGCTTCTCACAGTTACAGCACTTCGTTGATGAAAAGGAAATTACCAATTTTCTTCTGAACAGTGTTTTTCAGTCAGAGTTAATCTTTGTTATTTTTTAATTATGTTTAGTTTCATTAGTTTCGCAGTTTTCTTTCAACATCAAATAAAGGAAGCAAAAGCTCTCGTTCTCTGATAAACATTATTTATTTACCACTCATTCCTGCTGGGCTGATTAATTTGCTCCGGTCATCTTTCACTTTTTTCAAAACAATGAAATTATAACTTTGGTTTTGGTTTATGAAATTCGAACAAAAAACCCTTTAATGCAATCATTTTTTCTGCCTTGCTTGCTAACATTTGGCTCCTTTGCAATAGTCAGTTACATCCAAGTTGAATTACAAAAGGAATAGTAAAATTACGAACTTGAAGCAGAAGCAATATTTTGTAGCGATGACCTTTTGGAGTATGCACATTCTGGGTCTATACCGTCGGTTGGTCTTCACACTTTTTAATTTCCGGCAGCTAGAATGTGACTCTTTCAGAAGTGCTGATAGTTATCTAGAATTTAGACGCAATATTCTTGCATATCGATCTTACTAATTAATACCCAGTCCATCATGATTTGACAATTATTCGCCGGAGTGGAGGTAAATAATTATTTTAGCTGTATGTAACACTGAGAAATCGAAAACAATTAGTTTATTTCTGTCAATATAACAAAACACGGACGGAAATTAAGTCGTTGACGCGCGCTCTTGTCTCTTCGGCCGCTCAGAGGTGAATGGTATGAGTTGATCACTTCCGAACCAGCCAATCAACGCACGCGATCAGCATTTTTCACCTGTGTGGAATATGCTAAACATTAATATCTCTCACAGAAAATTATTATATCGATCATTGTTTTTTCGTTTTATATTGATTTTAGCTCTGTTCAGCTACTCTCAAACTCGAGATAAAATAAAGTTTATGCGTCTATCAATGTATTCCTAAACTTTGTAATTTATCGGTTAGAGTCTTGCTGGGGCTCTGACCGATATTACCGTGTCCGTGAATAACATTAAAGACAGAAAATTCAATCTGCCACTTCTTTTTTTCTATAATTAGGCAAAGATGGTCAGCCAATTTTGAGGGTGAGACAGGCTGGGTCGGACTTTGCACTCCACCTGATGTTGGACGTGCAGCAGTGGGATTATGGCGCGTTAGGTTCACGTGCAGGTCTCATGGTATTCATTCATGATCACGAAACACCACCCCTGGTGGCGCAACTTGGTTTCGCAGTGGGGCCTGGAACGAGCACCTTTGCGGCAATTAACAAACAGAAGGTAATTGAGATAGATAATTTTAAATGTTTAATTGCAGTAGATATAATCAAGTGGCGATACTAAAAGGAAAGAACAACAACAACAACAACCGACCCACGCGTGTAGGCTCATGAAAATATTGAAATCGTTTCGTAAAATGCATCGTGATTTGAAAACAATTTAATGGTTTAAATTTTAAGGACCAAAGACCGTTTTCATTTTTCGTATTTTATTAAAGTGAGAGAAAGGATGGGCGATATCTTTAATAAACTTCATACGCATATGCGAATAGAGTTGTTTAGAAGCTTTCTCAATTGTTGGTACTATTTTTTTGCAAGACTATTAGCCTTCCAGACCCATATGAGAGCAATTGCCTGGACAAAAACGACAGCAAGGTACCTGGTTACAAGACATACACAATTCTTGGTTGTCTGTTGATGTGTCAAACAAAATATATAATTGAAAAATGTGGCTGTCGGGATGTTGGAATGCCTGGTGAGTGAAACTGAGCTGATAATCAACATTTCGACCTTGCTTAGTTCGTTTATTTTTATTTAAAAAAAAATTACAAAAATTGCATCAACCCTGTATCTAGATCCCATGAGTAACTAAGGCAGGATTTCTCCTTACAATACCAATACAATATCAAGCAGATAAATGATGAAAATAAAGAAAACATAAATTGGAGGACTATTAGTTGATCCAATACCAAATTCTCTTAACTAACATAATAAGAACTGTATGGCAGACAGTAAGGAGAATTACTAATAAGATCTTGGGGGTGAAAGGGTTACGTGAGCTGTAATGTTGTCTAGACAGTAAGAAAAAATATTTCTTCTGAGGTCTCTTTTCTCTTGGAACTTTTCGTGTCTGGGTGTTCAGCGCAATTTCCCACGATGCAACTGTTAAACGTTGTGTGATGAAATTGTCTCTTGAGTGGCTGCTGGATTAACTCAATCTAATTACCTGTTTGATTGATAATTTGATTGCTTTGATTGACAGCAATTAACGACACCAGAATGTGTAAAGCACTGGATTTATCAGATTGTGTGCTTAGAGAAAAAGGTGAATCTTTCTTTACAGATTTGTTTTTTTTCCTTATTGTTTGTTTGTTTGAGTACACAGGTATTTACGAGTTGGTAAACAGCAGTTTTTTTTATGAAATATTTGGTGGAGGACTTGCTAACAGTTTGCACTAGTTGTGCGTTTATTAATATTCCAGAAAACAGTGTAGACTAGATCAAGATGTCGGTTTGTGTTCTAAAATTTCAACTTCGTTTAAAGATCAAAATATGGAAATTTGTTTACAAGAAACCCAAACGGGAAGATCTAACAGCACTTGTCCTTCTCCTATCTAAACAATGGCCTCCACATACTCGGTCATTTGCCCACGGACATGATCTGTTCTGAGAAGCGTACAGGAGCAGATGTTGGATGCTGGAAGGAACAGATAATGTCCAAGGTTAAATATGAGAAAAAGTATCCCAGCGCTCTTTTACATCATATCAAGCACGCGAACGCACTTGTTAAGAGAAATTTTTACCTCATCAGAAAGTTGTTGCCATATTAATGCCTCAAAGAACGCAGGATGAAGGGATTGAATTACTTCATCCGGCGTTCTCTGAGTATACTTCGAATGGTATTCCTTTAGTTTCTCTCTCAATGGAAACTTGCTAGCGATTTTTTGTTCATCTTCGAAGGCCATTTACTACAAGTAACGAGACGAGTATGATTTCAGTCATCCATCACAATAAAGCCTGCAATTGTTTCTTTCGACAATTATGCTCGTGGAGTAAGAGAATATTTTTAAAACGGTCAGCGTGTCATTTGACACGGTTAACGTGCCGCTTTACTAATTTGAACTAAATGCCCTCTTGCAAGCTGGCGTGAGATTTAAAAAAAAAAAAAAACAGCTGTGTAATTGGACACACTGCGTAGGAGCCGCCGTTTCTTTTCACTCACTGCCTTCCGGTTTCACATGCTTTACCGTGCGCGTGCGTTCACCTTATTACATATTTTCCAGCAGATGGTAACATTTATAAACCTTTCCGTGAATTCCAGGAAATTTCCGGAAACTAAAAGATCAGCAATGCGAGTGTCCAGTGCCTTGTAGTACGACCTCATTCAGGCCTATCCTGTCATATGCTGCTTTTCCAAGTGATGAATACATCAAACAATCACATGAATTATATGAGATGTACGGCTCCAACACGTCAGAGGCTAGTCTTGACTTTATCCAAGGATACATGAGGTTTGTGTCATTAATGAGTCCAGGAAAGATAAAATAACAGGACTTGAGAGAAAACATTATATACGAAAAAGGATGATTAATTTGTTATCACTTTGTCGAGCATTGTGGCGCATTTTGCGGGCTAAATTGGAGATTCTGGTGGGCTAAAATGTATCTTAGCCCACTCGCACGCTCGCGTGATTGTTCAGACTGTTTTGTTGTCATTTGTTCTGTTTTTTATTTTCTCAATGCCCTCCAAAGTGATGACAATAATAATACATTTTATTTTCTTAAGCATGAAATATGTTTTGGTCCCCTCTCAGAGTCATTTTAATCTTCAGCTGGAGGCTCGCCGCTAAAATGACTCAGAGGTGGATCCGAAACATATTTATGTCTACGATTATAAACTATGTTTTCAAGGAGAGTTAAAAGCACATTCTCCCAAACTTGGTGCGTGGGAAGTTTCGGACGCATTCTCTATTTTAATGATAAGTTCGCTTTTGTTAACTCCATAGCCAGAACATGTTGGAACTTGTGATTTATTTTGAAGAATTAAGTTATCATGTCATTGAACAGACACCAGCCTATGATTCCGAAAGCCTTTTTGGTAAGTGAGTTCAATAATTAGAATAGGAATGCTTTGTTTGAAAATTTAATATCCACAAGGTTATTAACCCAAACTAGACATGATAATATACCTCTACTAGGACGACGGAAACTGTGTTAAGTTTGAAATTTTTGTATTTTTTTCCAATATGTAACAATATGTATCAATATGTTTCAATGTGTTGGAAACCCAAAATTTCCGATTGCAGACATGTATGCTTTCTGGGGAGCTAAGGAACTTTATATCTACTGCGACGTGTGAAAAATTTCCTTAAACATAGATAAGAACCTGGTATATATTTCTTTGGTAGTAGACTGAGAAAGTGTGATGACGGTCACGAATGACAGAAATTGTCAAAGATGGAAAACTGCAAACTATAATAAGATCCAGGCTGATTTTTTCAACATGGTCGAACAGCGAAACATCTTCTTTAAAACTGGTGAATTAAAGACGACACCTTGAAAACAACAAAAAAATGAAATTACTTCACCATGAGGAGATTCTGGGTAAGTGTAACATTAACTTTATCTTTTTCACAGCCGAAATCGGTGGTCAAGTCGGGCTTTGTGTCGGTGCCAGTCTTCTTACCGTGCTTGAATTTTGTGACGTCATAATCGCCATCATTGGAATATGCTTTGGATTCCGCTAAGCATGCGCAAAGGTGTAAAGTTGGATGTGTGAAGAATCCCAATAATGGTAATTTTAAGTTATATAGAATAATTCAAACTTTGAAATGTAATAGCGTCATCACATTACATGGTTCTGAAAGTCAAGTTTATATTGCAGACATGACGCAGGCAGCATGCAGTGATAGTGCATGCACCTGCACAATAAAGCATTTATTTACAGCGTATTCATTCTGTTTTATTTACTGTATTTACTGACCTGGGAAATACCGTAAGGCCGACGGCTCACGACAGTCCATCAGCAAACAGTAACTCGACCAGATTTGTGAGCAGTTTTTTACATCGCTCCAGTTTACCTCCAGTTTATTCAAAAGTTGTGCCTTCCTTGGTCACTTGAAGCCCGTCATAGTGACATGGCTGAAACTGCAATGGTGAATTTATTTAAATGCTTTATCTCAACCCCTTCCATACTTGCTTCTTTTAATAACTATCTCATTGCTGACGCAATGGTCCAATTTGATGTTCATTTAGTACGTAGCTAGCTCAGGTACATGTCTAAGTTGGGACTAATTGGCTACACAGCGGAAATGGCACAGAAATAATTTATCAATGAAGTAAGCCAATTGATAATCTACAGCTGTATTTATAGGCGAAAATTAAGGGAAATGATTACAGAGTCAGTTTATTTGGAAACCTGGATACTGGTTTACCAATCTTAAGAAAACGTGAGATCCCAAGCTGTTCGTGACAAGCAGCAAAAATAATGAGATCTGAAAGACCTTGCAAACGTTCGACGAACTGTTTTTCCTAAAAACTACGCACGTACCCGCCTACGCACCCATACCGAAGAAATTATCGATGATTTTCGGTTTTGCGGTTCTGCGGTTTTACCTTATGTCAAAGGTCTTTCCGAACAACTTCGCCGTTGCCTACAAAAACAAGGCGTACGTGCTGTTTTCAAGTCGGAGACTACGCTAAGATCTCAGTTAGTACGACCAAAAGACGCTGTCGACCCGGCTAAACAAGATGGCGTAGTTTACAGGATTCCCTGTGAATGTGGCAAGACCTATGCATGACAGAATTAAGGAGCATGATCGAGACATTCGACTCGCCCGTACCGGTACCTCCGCCGTTTCAGAGCATGCCCACAACACCGGACACAAGCCACTCTGGAACGAGGTAAAGTTTATTGATCGTGACCCTTATTACTACACGCGCAGAGTCAAAGAGGCAGTTCATATAAGACTTCACCCTAACAACATCAACAGGGATAATGGAATAGAAATTCCAGAAGCGTGGATGCCCACGATCAAAAAACACAACAACAGGAGAGCCGTGCGACAGCAGACCGCCGAGGGAGCAAATCACTGATCAGCAAGGATCAAAATGCACCAATCAGAGATGTTGAAAAACAACAAATCACAGCAACTTGTTTTTACAACAGCCGCCTCGTTAATCAAGTGATTGTATCTTGGTCAACGGTTACGAGAGGGGAAGCCATTTTGTTACTCTTTGACAACTTAGGAGTAATCGTTTCTAAGCTAACTATCAACGAGCTAGCCAATATTGCGGACGTAAAGAGCACTATCAACTTGAATTGCTCATACTAATAATTAACGTTATCATAGTTAGCCATACAATCAGAGCGCGTGTTAATATATATCGCCTGCTAACAGCAGCCTTACATATGAAAATGCGTGTATGTTGATATTTTATTTCGCGATTAGATTTTATGAAATCAAAAGGCCGCTATTATTTCCTTCTCCCTTCAATTTATCCCCTTTTTTCTAGGTTTTTTCCCAGGTTTTTTTAGACCTGAGTAAATGATGCTTCCGAGAAAAATGGCTTTAGTGAGATTTAAAACAGAAGCAGTAAAAATATTCATGGAAGAATTTTCATGACAATGCACAATTTTTCGTCCGATAAGCTTCTTAAAGTCTTATCGGAAAGTAACCTTTAGGATATTCCTGTACTGTTATACACGAGATATCCATGATTATCCGCAGAGGCAACGCCATTTCAGAACTTCCCCAGAAAGCCCATTCCTTAGTTCTAATGGTTTGATATCGGAGCTAACTTCACTGATATTAGGAGATATTCCTCCGACTGGATGTACTATCTTTCGTTTCGTTTTCTCACATGCAGATTCGTGGTCGAGCTCAATGAAAAAGGTTATAATGATGTAGACAAATTCTCCCGATGCAAATCAAAAATGTGTATGAATAATGAATTAAGGTTTTTCGAAGTTGCATGCCATACTTCGAGTTAACCAGTTCATATTCAGGAAGAGAATTAGAAATTAATAACTCACGAGTGAGCGCAGCGAATTAAACACGAGAGGAGAAATTCCATATCATTTTGTTTATTATATAAAACACAAGAGTCCTTTACTGACAAGAACATTATGAATGATTAAATTATCTGACTTTATGTCGACATAAGTGGAATCAAAATGTTGTTGCGGAGTTTTCAATTTTTTTTTTTACTTTAACTTGACTTAAAAAAATCCACCTTCTTTCTGAAACCTGCGTTTAAGATTGATTACCGAAAGAGCTTAACTTTTAATCACTGAACGCTGAGCTTAAATGCGGGATTACCTGCCAGTTAGCTTACTCGCTTTTCTCTCGACCTCGTTTCTCTCAAACATATCGACAAATGTAAACGACGTGGTCATGAAATTACCGAATAATAAACAGTTTCTCTGACAATACTCTTTGCTTACTTGCGTAAATCATATTTAGAGAATCGTTCCCGGAGCAATGGCATAATTACAGAGACACAATGCAAAATAGCTATTACATTAACAAAGAGTACAACATCCATTAATGTTTCGGATTATTACAGTCTAACATCATTCTCGGTGTGTCGGCAACTTTCCTCCCCAGGGAATAGATTCACCAATGGCCAACCTCTTGGAGTAAGGTGTTTCTCCACTTGCGAAACACTCATTTCAGTCTGGTTTAGGCAGTTGGAATCCTTCGCATTGTTGGTCATGACTGCAAAGGACTCTGCTCGGTTGTCTTTTGTATGGTTGGAATCCCTCCACACACAGCACCCTGCAGTCCATAGTGCACGGGGGATCGCAAGTTTTACATCGTCAAGGAAGACTTCAGAATGGAATACGTTGACGTTCCCATTGTCTGCAATGATTCCTTCCATGTCATATTCGGAGGTTCCGGTCAATAGATACAAAGTTCCATTGCGAGCACGACTTCCACAGGTCTCCTTAGCGTAGCGGCGAATGTTCGCTTCGAAAATCTCCCAAGGTCCGCTGTTAGATGCAATATATTGTGGCACCGCATTGGTGAGGGTGAATGTTGCCTCTAAACTGTTTATATCGAATGTATTTATGGCTGCGGGATTCATGTGGCCCTTGCTAAGAGGCTCTCGTCGGGTCAGTTTCCTGTACGCGCCATATAAGCCAGGAACACCTAAGAAGAGAGAAAAGCGTCTGATCAGAAAAAAATTTACTTAAGTCTCACCCAAAATTACTGCTGCAAAACCTTTTACATAGATACCAAAAAAGGATCACAGGTTCGACTTTTCTCAGTAGCGCCTTCTTGAAAAAAATGGTGATCCAAAATTAAAATACAGACATAAAAGGATTACCAGGAGGATTCCTCCACCACCCTTTCGCATCTTTCCTGTGGAGTTTTCCAATGAAAGGCGCCTGTTGTGGAGTCACTTTGTAGGCAGAGTAGAAGGGGATGTTCCTCTCCGGATCAAACAGCGAGACGAAGTAAGGCGGAGTTCCTTGAGGTTCCTCAGGAAGTAATTGCTGAATTTCCTGTCCCCGATGAGTATTAGGGAGACCCTCTGGACGTTTGTTCCTAACGAAATATGGTGCTGACCGTGGCGACCAAGTCTTTCTTTGCCTGATGGGCCCAGCGTCTCCCTCAGTTCCTCAAAGGAAAAAAAAGGTTAACCGATGTTGTGGCAATAAAAGCACCGGGAGGAAAATTTCAATCAGTGTTTTAAACGTAGATTGTCCATAATTATGTATCAAGAAATAGCCCATTGTTCCGGGTCAACTTTCCACTAAGCGTCAAACAAAAGTCCTGAGTAATTGGTAGTCCTAAGGGACTTTGGCCGAAGGGAGGCGGAAAAGCTCGTAACTGATCGAGAAAATTATCGGAGTGACAATTTTGCTGCACTGGGGGTGTAACTTGAGATGTAACTTGAGCCTTAAAATCAACATGACTCCAGTGAGATATCATTTCATAAAAATCATATCAGGACTCTATTAGGCTTCTTAGTAAGATTTTGATAAAAAATTTTACCTCTACAGGTTTCCCTCTCTAGTAAAACGAGGAAATAGAATCTATACACATTTATGATCCTAAACTTATAAAATATTTTTAGCTTTTGCTTTACATACCGAGATGAGAGGCTTTACTGGAAAATGCACCCACTAGTAGCCCAAAGATGATTGAAAAGGACGCAATATCTTTAACTGCCAGCATTGCCACAGGTTCAAGAGGCACTTTCCTTTAATTGCTGTAAAACACAACAAACATAACGTACGTAAAGACACATATCATTTGTAAGTCCACGAACGGTAAAAATTATTCACCTCGCTGAGGGTATTTAGATCTTCTTATATATACAATCTTCAAGGTAAATTTTGCACTGTCAAATGTGTCAAGCCACAGCCTTTTTCATCAGATAGTGCCCTTGTAATTCATTTCAAGTAACTCACACTTTATGAGTAAGAAAAACACTTCACTTCATTCTTCTAAACAATCATTATGAAAAAAACGCTCATTAGGAAAGTGGTGAATACTCGCTGACCATGAAAGAAGGAAATCTTACCTCAGAGAGTACTAGAATCACGAATTCCACTTGGTTCTTCAATACGCAACCGATTGTAACCAGTATAATGTACCCGCAGCAATTTCCCTGCTTATATACAACTTCGATTTACTCAGAACCAAATTTAGATAACGAAGAATTGAAACAAAAATCGTCATGTCATGTTTCAAGTTTAAAATGTCTTGACCTAGTTCGTGACGAGGTTACAGTATATCACTCTTTTTAGCGCCAATTTTTCGGATTCATGTTAATTCAAAAAGTCATGAATTAATTTTGTAACTTGGCTTTTTCATTCTTGTAAGGTAAAGAAATTCCTAATAAGGGCTCACCCGACCGCAATCGAGAGCATGTATTTAATTTTTATACCGAACTCGACGCTTTTTCTTCTTTAAATTTGGTCAAACTGTACTTGATCCAAAATGGTCGTGTAGATAAAAACCGAGTACTTGAGAACACACGCAGTCTAATCTGAGTTTACAACCTTTCTGAAATAGAAAATGAAATCTTCACGTCACACATTCATTTATTGTTTGTAATGTCACCCTTGCAGATATTGTAATGATAAAAAACTTTTTTAAAACGAATAAGCCGCCAAATATAGCTAATTTTCTGAAGCTGAATTGGAAACCGAAATTTGAACCTCATCCCTGCATCTGTTGGTCTGATTATTATGTCAAAGCACGCATTTATTTTACAAAAATTATGAAATTATTTTCTTATTGGGTTATTTTACTCTTGCAAACCAAAATATTCCTTACATGCATAACCGGCTTCGTTGATTAGCTTTAGGAATTTTTATCGTTTTTCCCGTACTGCATAACAATTAGGGAAGTGGTTTGGTCATCATGCGACACGATCGAGGCAAGAGCTGAGGTAACTTTATCGTGAACATATTTCACATAAAAAGGCTGCTTTACTTTCCGTCGATCAGGAATTATTCCGTTTCGTTTGAGTTGCCCCGAAGAACTGGAGAGGATTTTGACAAATTGTACAATGTACAACATGTAAGTTGCCTCTTCATTTTTGTATTACCTTTCGATTCCATTTTATTTGTTTATCTTCTTCCTTTCTTTCATAAATTTTTTTGCTTGTACGGCTTGTTTTTGCTCACGGAGTAGGGAAGTTGCTTTGATAAAAATGTTCCCACGCGAAAACGATCGCGGACAATCGCAAAATGAGGTGATATTGATAATGCTACCTCACGCCTCTATATGATCAGGTTTTTGTGCCCGTAGCTGCCGCTATTAGTATTTGGAAGCTTACTAAAGACTCTTTTTCCTTAAAGTGTGACAAGCACCTCAAAAAACAAATCCACGTTAAGCTATTCAGAGATCAATTAAGCCACAACTTAATTCTAGTATTGCCTATTGCCTTTTTCTTGTAATCGATGTGTATGTAGAGTCACTGATCATTATATTCTGCAAGGTCTGGTAACTTTGCCTGTTTTCCTCTTGATATTTAAAACAACGAGAGTAATACAAACATGAAGACACCCACAGTGTTGGTGTCTTATTTAGTGGCTATGTGCGTGGTGGAATACTTTGTTGCAGATAAAAAAAAATTCCTCAATCCCCCTAACACTGATTGACTTGTAACTTGTCTCAACAATATATAAAGAAATTATCTATAAAGCAGGTGACGAAAATAGCCAAATTGTTCTTTAAAAGACCAAAGTAATAGACCGGCCGGCGAAAGAAAGCACCGGAAAGAGCTAAGGATGACCAACGAGATATAAAAGAGTTAATAGTATCCATATTGTTCAAAAGACAAATAAAACTAGTAACACAGCTCGGCAAATTCCCAAATAAAGACTTTTATATTTATTGACCCCCTAGAGTGTTCGTCAATTTCTATTTGTTCCTTAAATAACCTACAAACTAACTGCCCAGGGTCAGGCAACGAGATGCACCGATTTGCTCATAAAACTTGGAACTTATAGTCTAATAGTTACATAGTTTATCCAAAAAAATTCCTTGAAACTTCTACACTTTTGGTATACCTATACAACCATTGAAATCTATTCCATCAGCATAGTTTATTACCTTCCAAATAGACTGAGAATGCAGTTCAGCTGCAAGCATGCAACTATATTTAATAAAACATTCATTTCAATTTGTACTTGACTGACGTAGGCAGTGCAGACCTATTGTTTAATTCGTAGGTCCATTTCTTTATATACTTTTATTGCAGAAATGGTCTTGCTGTTCTGTTTTTTTAATGAAGCTCCTGTCACACCCGAGATGTGCTACTTGGTAATTAGAAAATTGCGTTTTCCATATCAGCACAACTGGCGACTCACCACAACTTTGAGAGATTCTCGTTTAGGTGCATCCTGGTAAAATAGGTTGTTGTTCATCGTGGCGGTAAGTGATAATAAACTGTTTAATAGTTTTTCTCAAGACATAGTCACTTGTGATGTAGATCGCGACGTTTCGACTGCTTACTGCTAGTCTTCATCAGGAGATGGGAACAACTGCTCGGATCTCGATCCCCCAGTACTCAGGGGAAAAATGGAGATCGAAATCGGCCAGTCGCATTAGATCGCCGTGATACAAATGGTAACGCGTGAGCAGTTGACCGAATCGCCTGATGAAGACTAGCAGTAAGCAGTCGAAACGTCGCGATCTATATCTCAAGTGACTACATCGTGAGACGAACTATTAAACAGTTTATTAACTCTATACTAGTTTTATGAGGAAATATGCTCCAAACACGATCTGAGTTCTATCTCCGCCATTTAAAAGGACTGGCTAATTTATGACGCTCTGGCAATTTGACATTCCAAAGAGTAGCCAACCCTTCGAAAGCGTCTTCATGCAACAGCCATTTTGAGTTTTGCTTAGCAATCCGGCTGCCCACCAGTGAAGTAAGAAAATTCCTGATAACCTTTTCCCCATTACTTAGAGATGTCTTGAAAATTATTTATTGCATAAATTGTATCTTGTGAACGTGTGGTTGGGAATCCTTCAGCGCCATGGAGAGGGCCAAATTGGTAACATTTTGTATTTGCGAACGGAACTTTGAAAAGTACCTGATGGGTCTCTTGACTGATACGAAACACCGCGTTAGATTAGCCACGAAGTATGTTTTCAAAAGAATTTTAAAATTTTTACTGCATAAAAATTACATGAAAAGATCACTTGCCCATAAACTGAACTGTAAAGAGGCACCAGCACAGGCTTGGATTTTCAGTATTTAATGGAAACAGTAGAATTACAGTATTACGGTATTTTTAAAACACAACTTCGATTGGAAATAAAACGAAAATGTAGTAAAGTAGTCGACTTACATTTGTACAAGTGTGCCATCTTTAACATTCGTAAGACAGACATAAAGCTTAAAAATCCTTCGTACATTCAGTAAACACACTTCTCACATTTTCTTTTGGCAAAACTGAAAACTCATATTCTAGCACTAGGTCTGGCGTAATCGGGGTTAACATTTCAAATGTTTCTTGTTAATCATCGAAACGTTCACAGTCACCGGAAAAATTAAGAGCAAGTTAACAATTGGTTCATACGTTAGCGTGCGTTCATCGAGATATGAAGCACGCGGGAAGTTTGGAGAGCACGAAAGATGCGTAAGAGTTGCTCTCGGCTACGCTTCGAGCAACTTAAGCTTCTTGAGTGCTCTCCAAACTTCCCAAGTGCTTCATATATTGATGAACGCACAGCTGACGTATGAACCAATTGTTTTATAACATTTTCAACCAGATGGAAAATTTTTTCCTCTAGGGATTTGTTTGCTGACGTCATGAGCGTGCATAATAGGAATATGAAGCACGCTCGCGCAATAGAATTTGATTAGACAAATTTACTAGCTGTATTATAATTGCCTTTGAATCTCAATTATTACTAGTGCTCTCTCTCTAAACATACCCACCTGTACTAAAACTGGATTTCCATTGTCGAGCTTTTGTCCACGTACGTGATCGTGCGTTAAAAAAGAAAACTACGCACGTTGAAATGAATGTTTACGTGAGTTATCTCATCCGTTGACTAAGCGTTGCCATATTCCCACTTCCGCGTAATATTTAAGAAGTTTACGTGCATTTAGCGCACGTCGCAATTGCAGTCATCCTCCACGTATGGGCCTGTGTTTTCTCGCACGTAACAACAAAACGCGTAGTATTGGTTTTCTCGAGGCAATGGTAATCGCTTACGCACGTTTCTTTTGACACGTTTTACGTACGGAAAATCTTACGTAACACTGGAAATTGAAAGCACGTGTAGTTCAACAGAACAATAAACTACGACAGTATTGTAAAACTGGGTGAATCAGCAAAATAGCAAGAATTTCACCTCACCACAAAACTCTGTTCTCAAGAATTTTAAAGCTATTTTGAGCTCGATGTAAATAGAGAAACTAGTACGTGCCGGTCCTTAAAAATTTGTTTCTTTGTAAAAAAGAAGTTGAAGTCAACATAACCAGTAGATATTGCTTAGCAAAAAAACAGGAAAACAAAAACCGTGGGCAAAAAATAAAAGTGACATGTTCGTGAGCTTGTCATCATGACAACACCGCTAACTTCACATTTTAATATGTGAATAGTTGGGATCTAGGTCAGTATCTGAGCAACTGCACATCTACCCCTTCCCTAACCCTACAACATGGTCAACCGATAACAGGGTAGGGTTAGGGGAAGGGTTGGTTGTAGTTGTTCAGATACGGACATTGATCCAATAGTTCAATCCTCGGGCGCTAAGAGGATATCTTTTAATCTCTTCTTTTTTCGAAACGGTAAGATTTCTGGTGTTCATCAACACCATAGGATCGAAAATCTACTAAACTCCTAAGCACACGTCTGAATTCATTGGTGTCTTGACCTACGGGAAGACAATTTTGTACATCGGCAAAGAGGATTGCTTTTGGTTACATATCAGGTTGGACCTTTTTCAGTTATCTGTATTGAGATATGTTGAATAAATACACCTTGAGATTTACTAAGGTTTTCATTAAAAAAATATTGTCTAATGGCCCTTCATAGTTACTTAACTGTGAAAGTGATTCAGATGTATAAATTTGATTCTTATGCCTCGCCTCGAGCGCTTTTTAAAAATAGGAAACTGTATTTTTCGCTTGAATCACGTAGATCGGCTTGAGGCTTCCTTGTTCGACCATGAGCTACTAATTCTCGTCCGAGCTACATCGAAGAATTCGAAGAGCCTGCAG